GGGGAACTGGCATCATGATATTTACACGACTGATACTTAATATCAAACACTGGCATCATGATATTTACACGACTGATACTTAATATTGAAACACTGGCATCATGATATTTACACGACTGATACTTAATATGAAACACTGGCATCATGATATTTACACGACTGATACTTAATATGAAACACTGGCATCATGATATTTACACGACTGATACTTAATATGAAACACTGGCATCATGATATTTACACGACTGATACTTAATATCAAACACTGGCATCATGATATTTACACGACTGATACTTAATATCAAACTAATATCGACTTGCAAAATACAACACAATCGACAGGTTAATCAGAAAATTCGCCTACAGCAAAACATAGAAATGGTAAAAGTTCCAGTTGGCTGTGTGAATAATTGTGTAGTAGTCAGCTGCAACAGACAATATAGTTCGAGGCAAGATAAGTTAGACCAAGAGATCTTAGGCAGACAGAGTAAAGGAGAACAATGACGTTCTATCGGGTTGGCTTTTTTTATTTGTTTGTTGTTATTTTTTCGTAACATAGATAAATAGCTACCAAAAGTAATACCTATTTACAAGAAACAACATATAATCAGTATTCGTTTATAAATGTAATTGCGTAAGTTGTGTAACGATTTCAAATAAACGTTTTGGTCGTGTATGAAATCAACATTTTGATAAAACGTCTGAAACATCTCGCGGTGGTAAGCCTCGTCTGTCAAAATGGAAACAGGAATTGTTGTTTTCTTTCAGGACAAAGAGCTGTCTGTACTGCGTCTATCGAACCTTGAATTCTTGCTTTATAGTCTCTCAAACGTACTGTTGAGCCAACACATGGGAAAAAAACCGAAATATGAAAAATAATGATTTACATGTTCTTTAAACAGATTTAGCTTTTCATTTTCTTACGGACTACTTACGGATTAACGAACCATTTATTCCCCCCCCCCTCAAAATCTCTCTCAGCATTTTGGCACCATGCATGTGTTATAAGAGTGAGAGTAAAATCCCACAGTTCGATTACAGTAACCCACGAGTTGGCGGTGGGTGTCCTTTCCCTCTTCTCTATCGCTTCAAAATTAGGGTCGGTAAAGACAGATAAGTAACTACAAACACATCAAGTAGTGTATTGAGGGGGTGGGGTTCTGAAACAACCTAATCACAAGTAAGTAGTTTTTGTAGAATGACGCCACCTTATCACAACTAAGTAACGAGAATCCTGCTTTACTGATTCATTCTTTCTTTGTGCAAGCTTTTCCAACTTCTTTTAAAATGACATCAGTGGGAAGTTCATAAACTCTCCAAAAACATTTGCTGCATATTGTAAACAAATGGTGAAGTGACTAGTGTTCAGTTCTAGACGAATATAACATTTACTACACGTGGTTTGTTGGATATATCACACAGGTTTATAGTGACTAGTGTTCAGTTCTAGACGAATCTAACATTTGTTTGTTGGATATATCACACAGGTATATAGTGACTAGTGTTCAGTTCTAGACGAATCTAACATTTATTACACGTGGTTTGTTGGATATATCACACCGGTTTATAGTGACTAGTGTTCAGTTCTAGACGAATCTAACATTGTTTGTGGGATATATCACACAGGTTTATAGTGACTAGTGTTCAGTTCTAGACAATCTAACATTGTTTGTTGGA